TATGCCACCAGGCCTGTCTTGGATTATCTTGTTTAATTTCACAGCTGAGAAAGTATTTGACAGAGTTATCAGGTGTTTTTGATAGAAAAGCACTTGAGATTAAGGACTTGGGTGTTTGAGGGCAAGAGCAATCTTGTGCCTGCTATTCAAGGAGAAATGCAAAGATGTCCTCATGTGATGTACTCTGAAAATGAACAATATTTTGTAGAAGGAAACAACTCAGTCGGCCTCGTGCATAGGGCATGGGCCAATTTGGGCAGGTGCCCCTCAGTTGTCCAGGCAGAAAACCTGAGGGATTAGCAGAAGCCCGGGAGGTAGTGGGTGTGTGGTCTGCAGCGTAAGGTGCCAGGCAGTATATTGGGCCCAGCTCTCTGTCCCTCAGTGACTGTGCAGCTCAGGTCTTACAACTACTTATGAACTGTTGAATGAAATTTCCTCCTTTCCCTACTAAAGAAAAAAGTGCTCTAGAAAATGAAAACAGAGAAAGCTTAGGTCCTATTTGCTGCATTCTAACATTAGTACCTTTATTGACTGTAGCTAACACACCCTCCGATTTCAGTCACATTAAGGTTTCAGTCACATTAAGTATACAATTAATCACTCTAAAAAAAAAAAAAAAAGAGGGAAGTCTGTTGCTTTGTGGCCTGAATGCTCTGGGAGGAAGGACAGCACGTTAAGTGACATAAATCTGGCATGGAAAGACGTGCTGCATTATCAGATTCAGGCGTAGAAACTTAAAGCAGGTGGAGCCCAGAGAGGCAGAAGAGAAGAGTGGTTGCCAGGGGCTTGGGGGAGAGGGGGATGGGTGGCACTGGTCAGGGTACAAAGTTTCAGTTATGCAGGATGAGTAAGTTCTGGAACTGTAATACACATTGTGGGGCCTGTAATCAGTAACGCTGTAACACAGTGTGCCGACTGCGGCTCATAACGCCTTGGGTGTTGGAGATTCGCTGAGTGTATTTTACACATCTTCATCATATACACATGCAAAAATAACCATGTGAGGTACTGAGTATAATAATGAGCTAGACTGTAATCATTCTATAAAGTATCTGTTTGTTAAAACATCACATTACACACCCTAAAGAAAGCCAGATCTGGTGGCACAGGCCTGTAATCCCAGCTACTTGGGGAGCTAAGGGAGAAGGATCACAAGTTCAGGGCCAGCCTGGACTACAGAGTGACTTAAAGTCCAGTCTGGGCAACTGAATGAGAGCCCCCCCAATCCCAAAGTAAATTGTTAAAAAACAAAACAAACAAAAACACCAAAGGGCTGAACATACAGCTTAGTGGTAGAGTGCTTGCCTGATCAAGTGTCAGATCCTGGGTTCTGTTCCCAATACTGGGGGAGAAGAAAGAACAGAGTTGGGGAGAGACAGAGAGAAGTGAGTTTGAGACTCTATCTCTCTGAAATTTTATTTATTATTTATTTTTGAGTGTATGTGTCTTGCCTACATGTATGTTAAGTGCACCACATGTGTTCAGCGCTCAGGGAAGCCAGAAGAAAGTGTTGGATTCCCTAGAACTGGAGTTACAGACAGTCGTTAGCTGCCATGTGGGTGCTGGGAACCGAACCCGGGTCCTCTGCAAGAGCAGCCAGTGCTCTTAACCAATGAGCCATCTGTCTAGCCCCCTCACCTCTATTCTTGACCAAGAATAAAGTTCTCTCATCACCTAGTTGGTGCTTGGTTTCTTGTTGGACCTAGAGTTTCAAGAGGAACTCAGGAGGTGTGGGGCAAAAAGGGTCAGTTTTTGTATCTCAAGTGGGGTGTGACTTGACGAGCTATGTTCCCCACCAGAGAGCCATTTCATGTAACTAAAAAGCTGCCAAAAGCTGGGCTTTTAATCCCAGCTCTCAGGAGACAGAGGCAGGCGAATCTCTGTGAGTTCAAGGCCAGCCTGGTCTCCATAGTGAGTTCCAGGCCAGATGGAGCTACAGAGGGACTATCTTTAAAAAAAAAATCAGAAAGAAAGAGACTTTGGGGGACACCCTTCTCCTGGGGGCACTTACTTCTGGAGCATCAAGAGGTATCTCTGTTGTGAGGACCCCTAGCTCATTGGGCTCACTTCTGGGAGGTTGAGAGAAAACTCTGGAGCTCGCTAGAGGGAGAGGGACCCTAGGAGGACCTTTCAGGAAAATTTCCATCATCAAGATCGGTGTTTGAAAGCCAGGCATAGGGACTCACATCTGCAATGCTAGCACTCGGGAGACTGAGGCAGAAGGATCAAAAGTTCTGGGCTGGAGAGATGGCTCAGAGCTTAAGGGCATTTGCTGCTGTTGCAGGGGACCTGAGTTTGGTTCCTTGCACCTATGCTGGATGACTCACAACCATCTGTAACTCAAGCAGTTCCCGGGATCCTAGGCTCTCTTCTAACCTCCTTGAGCACCCACACTTATACAGCCACACACACATACACATAATTTAAAAAAAATTTTTTTTTAAGTTTAGGGCCAGCCTGAACAACTTAGGGAAACCCATCTCAACAACAACAACAACAAAACCTCAAAGCAAACAAATAAGCAAAACTCCTGTGATGGAGAGCTTGGTTAGCATGTGCAAGGCCCCAGGTTCAATCCTTGGCACCTCAGAAAACAAACAAAAAATCCCACCTGTACTTGATCTTATTATTGTGTTGATTCATATGTCCCTAGAATGTAGTGGTCAGAGGACAACTCTCAGGAGTTGTTTAATTAAGCAGTTCTGGTCAAGGCGTGGTGGGTTTGGTGACTGTCTCAGTTCTGGTCCTGCAAGATGGTCCAAGAGGGAGGGAGCCTGTCCTACAAGGCTTTGCTATTCCCATAATCCAAGGTGACACAAGTTTCAGACAATGACTTATCCTTGTGGAGAAAATTAGGCAGGTTTTTAGACTGATACTGCTTGAGGGATTTACCTGTCTGTGTTAGGAGTCTGACCCAAAGTAAAGGAGACAGATACAAAATGAAGACAGAGATCACAACCCTTCATCCTCCTCTTAGTAACCATGTCAGTGCTTTGCCCCACATGGCCTGATGGGTATTCATTCTAGGGGAGCCTGCGTTGGCTCTGATCTCATAAAACAGCAAGGTCCAGAGAAGCCTTTGAAGATTGGGTGGACCTAGGAAGATCTCTTCCCAGCTAGGTGTGGTTGTGCACATCTCTGATAGGAAGATCATGTGAATTCAAGGCCAGCCTGGGCTACATAGCAAAACTCTGTCTCAATTGCCCCCTCCTCCCCCCAAACATATGGGGGGGGATAGATAGAGGAAGAGAGGGGGAGAGGGAAAAGGGATGGATAGAAGGAAGGAGCTCCTTCAACTCGAGATGAAGTTAGATCCTAATAAATGTATTAAAATTGAATAAGCTCTGGGAGGTGCTAGAGTGTCTGTGAGGCAGGAGGTTGATGGAAGATGGAACAAAATTGACCCTAAAGTCCCTTCCCAAGGCTGTTCATTTTGTTTGTAGAGAAGGACCAGGGATGTTGAGATGACTCAGCCAATAAAAGAAAATAGTCCACAGACATGCCCACAGGCTAATCTGATGGGGGAAATGTCTCAATTGAGGCTTCCTCTCCCCAGGTCTGTCAAGTTGACAACCAAGATTAGCCACCAGAACCTTAGGCCAGGGAGTTTACTATGGCACTTCCGAGCCACACTCTTTGGTTTAACTTCCTTGAGTTCAAGTCACATGCATATCCTGTAGTTGGGGCTGGAAGCATGGGTCACCACTGCTGCGTGGCAAGCCACTTAAATGATGCTCACTCACCAGTGTGGTCCCAACGCCTTCATTCACTGACCGCTCTGAGAATGTTCGTCTCATGTGCTACACTCTGGAGCACGAAGCAGGGGCCTCAAGGTTACTGTCCAACGGGGGTACCAGACATTGAAAAACTATAAAGTAGTGTAACAATTAAGCTATAATTGTATGGGGCTAGAGAGATGGTTTGACAGTTAAGAGTACTTATTGCTCTTGCAGAGGACCCAAGTTCAATTCCTAGCACCTACGCTGGGTGGCTCACAACTGCCGGTAACTCTAGCTCCAGAGGAATCCAATACCTGTTGCCTTTGCATGCATCTGCACTCATGTGCACATACCCACACACATATAACACACATAACTAAAAATAAGCAAATAAATATTTAAACTACAGCTGTGATAAGTACCATGAGGACAAAAAAACATAGATGTGGTTTAAAAAAAAAAAAAAAAAGACCTCAGGGATCCAAGAGGTGACATTTAAGCAGAGACCCTCTTGTTATTAAAGATCGTCTGAAAGGGAGATGTTATCAGAGTTGTGGTGAAGAGTTCCAAGAAATCTGTGTAAAAGCATTTTTCATTGTGGCCTCTTCCTATTAGAGTAAAAAGGACTCAGGAGGATTAATCAGTGATCCCAACTAATCAAAAATTCTCATGTTCTCCTCTTTGATTCGGGACTGAGGGTGGGAGTTGTAGAAATGGTGCCTGAGCACACTGACAGGAGCATCATGGGAGCAATTCAAACCTCAGGTAGGGTGTCGGTTCCTGTCTCCTCCTCACCTGGTGGCTCTCAGTGGAGGCAGTCCCCCACCCCCATGCTGGGGTCCATGCAGAATGTTAAAGACTTCGGAGCTATCTGTTTGGAAGGAGGAGCTTCTAGTCATGAGGAATCCTCAGAAGAGTGCTGTAGTGAACCAGCTGGGAGGGTGGTGAGTCAGCTGCACAGAGCCAGCTGTAGAGCTGCACGTAGCTGCCGTGAGCCGGCTGTGGAAGCCAACCGCCACATACTTGCCTGAAGTTCCAGCTGCTCAGGAAGCCGAGGCAGGAGAACTGTGTAAGCCAAGGACTTGGAGAACACCCTTGGCAGCACAGGGGGCTGGAGGGAGCCTGTCTTCACCCTCAGCAGGTTGGTCTTTGAATATAGAGTAGATAGAAGACCCCCAGGTGACTCTAGACTGGCTCTGTACACGCTGGATATACAACTGGAGCCCCACCCTCTCCAAACCCCAGGCTCCTCCTTGACACCCTCCCCAACACCTCTCACAGAGACTGACCCTGGTGCTCGCCTTGGCAACACTGATAGCTGCCTTCGGCTCGTCCTTCCAGTATGGGTACAACGTGTCTGCCGTCAACTCACCATCAGAGGTAGGTCACTGTGATGAGTGAGATGCAGTTCCTGACAAGGGGAGGGGCTTAGAGCTTCATGTGGCCCCCAGAGAACAAACACAGCCCTCAAGGGAAGAGAGAGGGGAATCCCTTCAGGACCAGGCCAGCAGGGTTTCCATATCCCCAGACCTCAGGTTCTCAAGAACACTCACACCTTCCTTGGCTGGGTAAGGTATAGTCATCTGGAGGGCAGCAGCCACACCACCAGGAGCCATTCTGAGGTATGGGATGCACCCCGGGCAGTTAGCCTATTAGAAGCTTTCCCATAGGAGCCCCAGCCACATGCTGCTCCAGGGAGCTCTGTCCCCACCTCCTGACCTCCTTAACACTATTGCTGTGGAAACCCTAGTAGAGCCATCACATTGGTGGCTTGACAACTTCTGTTGTTCTTTCTGCAAATTGAGATATGATTCTATGCATCTGTGTCCTCTGTCCCCCAGCTCATGCAGCAGTTTTACAATGACACCTACTTTGAAAGAAGCGGGGAGCTCATTAATTCCTTCTCCTTGACGCTGCTGTGGTCAGTGACGGTGTCCATGTTTCCCTTTGGAGGCTTTCTGGGTTCCCTCCTGGTTGGACCATTGGTGAATAAATTTGGCAGGTAAGAGAATAGGTTTGTTTGGTTTGGTTTGTGTGTTGTGTTCTATGTGTATGGTGTATGTACTTATTAATGTAGGTGTGTGCATATACTCACACATGTGCGTGTGCACATGCATATGTGTGAGTGTGTGGAGGCTAGGGGTAGATGTTGATTGTCTTTCCTCGATTGCTCTCCACCTTTATTTAAATTTTTTAAAGATTTTAGTTTTTTACTTCCTATGTCTGTGTATGTCTGTGTATCTGTGTCTGCCACTTGTGTGTGGGTGCCTGAAGAGGCCAGAAGATGGTGCTGAATCTGCCAGAGCTGGAGTTACAGGCAGTTGTAAACTGCACAGTCTAGGTGCTGGGAACCAAACTTGGGTCTCTGGAAGAGCAGCAAGTGTCCTTAACCACTGAGTCTTCCCTCCAGCCTTTATTTTTCAAGGCAGAGTCTCTCACTGAATCTGAAGCTCATTGATTTTGCTAGGCTTGCTGACAAATGAACTTCAGGGATTCTCTCGTGTTCACACTTCCCCTAATCCCAAACTGGGGTTATAAGAACACACCATTGTGCCCAGCTTTTTATGTGGATTCTGAGGGTCAGAACTCAAGCCCTCAGGCTTGAGCAGCAGCACTTTACCAACTGAGAGCTATCTCCTCAGCCTGTTTTTGTTTTTGAGACAGGATCTCCCAGTCTCATGTAGCCCAGGCTGGCCTCATATTCACTATGCTGCCCCAAATGACCTTGAACTTCTGATTCTTGTATTTCTAATCTCCAAGTGCTAAGACCGCAGTCACATGCTACCGTGCCCCATTTGCACACGCAGTTCTCATTCTCCACATCTCAAATATGTCCATCATCACTTTTTTTTTTTTTTTGGCCTTTTTGAGTCAGGGTCTCCTTGCAGCCCCAGCTGGCCTGGAACTCACTATGTAAACCAGGCTGACCTTGAACTCACAGTGATCCACCTGCCTCTGCCTCCGAGTGCTGGAGTTAAAGGGGTGCGCCACCACACCCAGCTCCCATCATCAGTTTTTTAAAAAATATTTTATATTTTATATTATTTTTATTATATGCATATGAGTGCATTGCCTGAATATGTGTAAGTGCACCTGTGTTTTGCAATGACCGTAGAGGTCAGAAGAGGGCGTGAGATCCCCTGGAACTGGAGTTACAGATGGTTGTTAGCCAGCATGTGGGTGCTGGGAATTGAACCTGGGTCTTCTGAGAGAACAGCTAATGCTCTTAACAGCTGAGCCATCTCTCCAGCCTTCCATCATCACTTTTTAAATGTAGACCTGTAACTGAGGTCTTTATCATGAAATGAAAGTAATAACCAGTGTGACAATTTTTTACTTTCTACTGGGGTCATTCAAAAAAGCCTGAATTGGGGACCTAGGCAAGGTCTCAGGGCTGACTTGGGGTCCCCAAGGAAAGAACAATGTCTGCTAGGGAAGACCTAGAACTCAGAGATGTTTTCCTCACTTAACCCAAAAACTAGTTCCCTCTTTAGTAATTTTTGTTTTTAGAAGAGGCAAGGGCACATAGCCAGTGGCGCACACTGTAATCCCAGGACTCTCCCTTCCAGGAGGGAGAAGGAACTTAAGGTCAGAGCCAGCCTGGGCTGCAAAGTGAGACCCAGTCAGAGATCTTAGGAGCTCTTAAGACCAGAACTCAGAACTTTGCTTCAGTCTCTGGTACTTTTGGAAAGGGTCTGAGAACCACCTCTGGTTGGGAATCTGAGACCCCAAGATCTTCCTGAGAGTTAGTGTTAAGCCCACAGTTTCCTCTGTGGACCCCAGTGTGAGCCAGATCTGCAGGATGCATTAGCTCCAGTGAGTCACATGCCCAGGTGGGGCCAAAACTTTCCCACCACACCCAGCTCTATCTTACTGTATTTTAATATGGGCCCCTTTTCCTCTGTCCCCAGCACCAAGAACATTCCCACAGTAGGCTGTGCACTTGACCTCTGTCAGTCTCAGATCCCAGAGAGCTTAGCACACAACAGTGAAACTCACTGCTATAACTGGGGAACCCTGTTCGGAGTAGATTTGGGGGAACATTTGTTGAATGAATGAATGAATGAATGAATGAATGAATGAATGAATGGAGTGACTTCTTAGGCTAATCTAACTCTGGTGTCCTCTGCAGAAAAGGGGCCTTGCTGTTCAACAACATATTCTCCATCGTGCCCGCCATCTTAATGGGATGCAGCAAAGTTGCCAAATCATTTGAGATAATAATTGCTTCCAGACTTCTGGTGGGAATATGTGCTGGTAAGCGACATCACTCCAGCTACCATTCTGTCATTTGGGTCCTCATGGAGGAGAGAGAACTGACTCCCAGGGATCTGATGCAGTCTGGGGTCTCTGAAGCACCCAGACACAAGCTGACCCTACATAGGCGCCTGAGTCCCTGCTCGGCCCTTTGCTTTTCCAAGGTTGGAACTGAACCCAGGGCTTCCACATGCTAGACAAGCGTACTACCACAGAGCCACATCCTCAGCCCAAGAAAGCTGATCTTTGTAAGACTGAAATACAAAATCTTGAGGATGGAAGGGTCTTTCCAATCTAGTCCTTCATCTCAATACCTCAGCAATTGTTCAACTGCAGGGCAGGTCAGTTAGAGGGAAGTGACATCTGTTTAGTGAGCAGCATCTTTGTTTAATAGAACAAATTGTATGCCATGTCCTGAATAATAAGGTTGTCTCCTGAAACTCTTGTTTCCATTATTTATCTGTGGGGGGGGGGTGAAGGAGGTTGCAATGAACAATGTTTTTCTGTGGGTTTTTTTTTTTTTTTTGCTGTGATTTGTGGTCATGAAAGACAGTGGAGCTGGTTTGCACCAATGGAGGCTGCCTGTCCTGTGCTGAGCGGGTTTTAGAAAGCTATTCCCTAATTGCTTAGAAATAGAGACCCTGGGGGCTGGAGAGACAGCTCAGCAGTTAAGAACACTGGCTGCTCTTGTAGAAGACCTGGGTTCAATTGCCAGCACCGACATGGCAGTTAACAACCATCTGTAACTCCAGTTCCGTGGGATCCAACTTCCTCTTCTAACCTCTGTGGGCACTGCACAACATGGGTGCACCTACCTCCGTGCAAGTAGTACACTCATGCACATTAAAAAAAGAAAGAGAGAGAGAGAGAGAGAGAGAGAGAAAGAAAGACAGAAAGAAAGAGAAAGAAAGAAAGAAAGAAAGAAAGAAAGAAAGAAAGAAAGAAAGAAAGAAAGGGAGAGAGAGAGAGAGAGAAAAGAAACAGAGACCCTGACGAAGCCATATTTTGGATTCTCCAGCTTGGCATCCCTAATAGCCAGCCTTTCCCAGAGCCAGGCCAGGGGAGCATTGCAGCTGCAAACTCAGGGTGCTTCAGGTGCTGGGTGGGCACCTCCTGCAATTTGCCCTTGAGCATCTCACGTGTCTCCTTCTAGTTAATCTCAGAGTGACTGACTGGGGACCTTGCATTCTCTCCTTCCAAATGTGGGGTCAGGGATAGAAGGCTGATTTGGTTGAAGGTAGCAAAGCCCTCAGCTGGAGTTCAATAACAGGCAGGGACATCCAGAAACTGACATTGCTGGGTGTGGAGGTGCTTGCCTTAATCCCAGCACTCAGGAGGCAGAGGCAGGCAGATCTTGTGAGTGCGAGGCCAGTCTGGGCTATACGTAGAGTGTTCCAAACCAGCCACGGCTACATAATGTGACCCTGTCCTAAAATCCATCCATTCATCAATCGATCATAGGGACGCAGTCATTTTGAGGGAGAATTACGGCCCCGAGGGGAACTTCACCCAGCTCTCGCTCCCCTTGAGAGCGCCAGGGTGCTCATCCCTGACATTATGGCTTCACTTGGCTAGGTTCTACCTCTGGTTTTCCCTGTAGGGATTCAGCTTTTCAAGAAATAGACGGTTCTAGAAGTTGGCAGCAGTAAGCTGATGTGGTCCCCTTTCCAATTACCACGAACAATTTAGAATTGGTTCCAAGAGAAATATTAAGCTCTGATCATTAAATGACAGTTTAAAATCCCAACCTAGGACCAGTGAGATGGCTCAGCGGGTAAAGGCACTTGCTGCCAAGGCCAGCACCCTCTTTATCACTTTTTAAATTATTGTGGGCTCCTGGCCCAGCATGGTAACACATGCCTTTCTTTAATCCCAGCACTCAGGAAGCAGAGGCAGGTGGTCAACCTTATCTACATAGTGGGTTCCAGGCCAGCTCGGGAAACAGGGAGATCCTGTCTCAAGAAAATATTCTTGAGGGTTCTTGACCCAATGTGGTGCCACATACCTTTCATCCCAGCACTCAGGAGCCAGAGGCAGGCAGATCTCTGTGAGTTCAAGGCCAGCATGGCTTATGTAGAGAGTTCCAGGCCAACCAGAGCTATGCAGTGGGCCTGTCTAAATAAATTTTTAAAAAATTATTGAGGGTTCTAAGCCGGGCATGGTGGTGCACGCCTGTAGTCCCAGCACTCGGGAGGCAGAGGCAGGTGGATCTCTGTGAGTTCAAGGCCAGCCTGGTCTACATAGTGAGTTCCAGGACAGCTGGGGCTGCAGGGAGACCCTGCTTCAAAAAAGACCAAAAAAAAAAAATTATTGAGGGTTCCAAAGAATTCTTACTCATGTGTACTTATCATTGCACCAGTAAGTATTTACATTAGAAATTGCTGCCAAAGGCTGGAGCAATGGCTCAGTGGTTAAGAATACTGCTGCTCTTGCAGAGGACCTGGGTTCAGTTCCCAGCATCCACATGGCAACTCATAACCATCCATAACTCCAGTTCTAGGGGATCTGACACCCTCTTCTGTCCTCCATGGGCACTGCACAACATGGGTACACTTACATACATGCAGGCAAGACACTCATACACATAAATAAAAAAATTTTTTAAAAAGAAATGGTAACCAAGGGGCTAAGGATAGTTTATCAGTAGAGTTCTTACCTGGCATGCACTAGGTCTTGGGTTTGGTCTCCAACACAAAACACACACACACACAATTTTAATGAAAAATAACCTTCCAGAAAAACAAAACTAAACTAAACACAAAGTGAAAAGAAACAAAAATCTACGAAGTGTGGTAAGTTCAGAACCTCAAGATCAGTCTATATAAGCCTCTGTCTCAAAAAACGAAGGAAAAATAATTGTACGTTTATATTTTAAGACAAAAAAGTTTAGTAAGAAGATTGGTATTGTTTTGCATGCTCGAAAATAGCATGAATGTCTAGTCTACCAGAATTAGATTCTCAAACCCACTTCTGGGGTAATCCATTGTGACAGTGTACAGCAAGCAGTTTCTGGAAAATGCCACACTGTGCTGGTGAGAGATCAAGAAGGAAAAGGACACAGCATCTGGAGACTGATGGGAAAATCATTTTGATCTCAGAGGTACCCCAGAAAGGTCCCAGAATCACCCCCAGGTCATCAGATCAGACTCGGAGAACAGCAACCAGGGCACCATCCATTTTTACTCTACTTCTCACACACCCTGACACATGTAATCAAATCACCTGCCTCTTAGTTTACACCAACCACATAGCACACTGAAAATAAACAGTTCTCCTGTGAGCATGGAGCAAAGGTGGCCGAACCTTCGGTTTCATGAAGCTCACGGTTCACCGGTTTGTTGTTGGTCAACTCCTTGGCAAAGAGACAGAGAGTTTTCCCTGTCCCCCCTAGGCTCCACCTCCATGTCTGCCCAGGTTGACCTGAAGAGCCTGGCACAGCCATGTAGAAGATGTCTGCAATCCTAGCACTCAGGAGGCTGATGCAGGAGGATCTCCAGTTGGAGGTCAACGTGAGCTACATAGCAAGGTGGTCCCCATTCCCAGATAGGCAAAGTAGAGGTTGTTTTCCTCCATATAATTGTCCTGAATCAAGACACCCTTGCCAAGTTTTTTTTTATTTTGTTGTTATTGTTTTTAAATCTTTTTATAATTATTTAGTGGAAGGGTGGGGAGATGCATACTTGCCATGGTGTGCACGTGGAGGTCAGAGGACAGCTTGCAGGCGTCAGTTCTCTCCTTCCACCATATGGGTCCTAGGCATCAAACTTGGGTTGTCCGGCTCTTGTGACAACCACCTTCACCCGCTGAGATATCTCACCAGCCCTATGTTTTTATGATTTTTTAAAAATTTTTATTATTTTTATTTTATATGTACGAGTGTATTGCCTGAATTCATGTAAGTGCACCTGTGTTATGCAATGCCTGAGAAGGTCAGAAGAGGGCTTCGGATTCCCTGGAACTGGAGCTATGGACAGTTGTTAGCCGTCGTGTGGGTGCTAGGAACCTAACCTGGGTCCTCTGCAAGAACAGCCAGTACTCTTAACCCTGAATCATCTCTCCAACCCCCTATTTTATGATTTTTAATTATGTGTCTGTGTGTGGATATGTGCATACGAGTGCAAGTGCCCTCAGAGGCCAGGAGAGGGTGTCGGATCCCCGGATCCCCTGGAGTTATAGGTGGTTGTGAGTGCCCTGATGTGTGTGCTGAGGACTGAGCTTGGGTCCTTTGCAAGACCGACATTCACTCTTAATTGCTGAGCCATCTTTCCAGATCCCTATTTTGTTTTTTAACAAGGTTTTACTATGTAGCCTTTACTGACCTGGAACTTGCTATATAGACAATACTGGCCTTGAACTTGGAGCAATCTTCCTATCTACTACTTTTCAAATACTGAAATTATAGGTGTATACAACCACAACTGGATAAAATTCCACCTTTTTTTTGGTGTTGGGAGTGGTCCGTGGTACCCAGGACTTTGTCTATACCAGACAGGCACTCTACCACTGAACTGTACCCCCAGAACTCCACTTATTCTTTTTAAAATATTTTATTTATTATTTTTATTTTATGTGTATGAGTGTTATGCTTGCATGTAGGTAAGTGCACTCATGTCGTGCAATGCCGGCAGAGGACAGAAGAGGCCATCGGATCCCCTGGAACTGGAGATACAGACAGTTGTTAGCTGCAATGTGGGTGCTGGGATTCAAACCTGTATGTGTATGCTTGTATTGCCTGCATGCAAGTCAGTGCACCGGTGTCATGCAATGCCCACGGAGGTCAGAAGAGGCTTTCGGATCCCCTGGAACTGGAGTTATGGACAGTTGTTAGCTGCCATGTGGGTGCTGGGAATCAAACCCAGGCCTTCTGCAAGAACAGTCAGTGTTCTTAACTACTGAGCCATCTCTCCAGCCCCCACTTATTCTTTTAAAAAAAGATTTTAGCTGGGCGTGGTGGTACACACCTTTAATCCCAGCACTTGGGAGGCAGAGGCAGGCAGATCTCTGTGAGTTCAAGGCCAGCCTAGTCTACATAGCGAGTTCCAGGACAGCTGGGGCTACAGGGAGACCCTGTCTCAAAAAAGACCCCCCAAATTTATTTTATTTGTTTATATGCATATGTGTGTGTGTACAATGTGTGTATATGCCCGTTGAGACCAGAAGACAGTATTGGATTCCCTGAAGCTGGAGTTATAGGCGATTGTAAGATGCCCTACAGGGGTGCTGGGAACTGAACTTGGGTCTTTTGAAAGAGCAGCAAGTGCTGAGCTATCTCTCTAGTCCTACTTTTGTTTTTTACATTTTTATTTATTTATTTATTTATTTATTTATTTTTGAGACAGGTCTCCCTGCAGCCCCAGCTATCCTGGAACTCACCACGAGGAATTGAACTCTGGTTGTGAGGCTTGGTAGCAGGTAGCTTTATCTGCTGAGACATCTCACTGGCCCCCAAGGGTATCTATTCTTAGAGGAGTCAAATTTTGGTGTGGGAGAATTTTTACAAGTTTAAATAGTGAGGAGAGATTGCTCAGTGGATAAGAGCACTGGCTTGAATTTGTTTCCCAGCACTCTCATGGCAGCTAACAACCATCTATAACTCCAGCTCCAGAGGCATCATCAGATACCTCTTACCTCCTAGGATACCTGCATGCACATGCATATACCCACATATAAAAACACATAATTAAAAATAAAAATAAGCTGGGCGTGGTGGCACATGCCTTTAATCCCAGCACTTGGGAGGCAGAGGCAGGCGGATCTTTGTGAGTTCAAGGGCAGCCTGGTCTACATAGTGAGTTCTAGGACAGCGGGGGCTACAGAGAGACCCTGTCTCAAAAAGACAAAAAAATAAAATAAAATAAATAAAAATCAATTGGGATAAAGAGATGGTTCAGTAGTTAAGAGCATTGGCTGCTTCTGCATAGGACCTGGGTTCAGTTCCCAGCACCCACATGGCAGCTAACAATTGTCTGTAACTCCAGTTCTAAGAGGTCCATCATCCTCTTTTGGCTTTTTTGGGCACTCCGTATACATGATTCACTTAACATGCATACAAACAAAACACTCATACACATAAAAATAAAAAATAAGGGGCTGGAGAGATGACGGTTAAGAGACTGAGTGTTGTTGCAGAGGACCTGGGTTTGAATCCCAGAACCACATGGTGGCTAACAACCATCCATAACTCCAGTTCCAGGGGATCTGACAGTCTTCTGTGGACACAGGTGCACTTACATACATGCAGGCAATATACTCATGCACATAAAATAGTTAAAAAATAATAAAATATGAGAAATAAAAAATTTAAAATAAAAATGAATCTTAAAAAAGATTAAATAAGCCAGGTGTGGTGGTGCACGCCTTTGATTCCAGCACTTGGGAGGCAAAGGCAGGTGGATCTCTGTAGGCCAGCCTGGTCTACATAGTGAGTTCCAGGCCATCTGGGGCTATAGGGAGACCCTGTCTCAAAAAGACAAAAAAAAAAAGGTTAAATAGTGGGTTCAGAGAAACCCTAAAATTATAAAACTCCCAGAAACACAAATATTAGACAGAGTCTCACTATGTCATCCTGGCTGGCCTGGAACTCTCTATGTAGACCAGGGTGCCCTAAACATCACAGACATCTGCCTGCTTCTATCTCTCAAGTGCTGAGATTAAAGATGTGCTCCACCACACCTGGCCACCTGGGTTTTTGAGATAGGGTCTCTCACTGAACCTGGAGCCCATTGATTAGGCTAAACTGGCTGGCCTGCAAATTCCTGGGATCTGCCTGTCTCCATCTTCCCTGAATTGGGATCACGAGTGTGTACCACCATGCCTGACCTTTTACATAGGTGCTGCGGATTGAACTCAGGTCCGCATGCATGCACAGCAAGAACTTTACCAACTGAGCTATCCCCATTTTGAAGGAGGTCTGGGCCAGATAATATGATTGATAAGGTAGAATGAGTCTTTGAAGACTTTCCTAATTGTGTTATCCCAACTCTCCTTTCAGGTGTGTCTTCTAACGTGGTGCCCATGTACTTAGGGGAACTGGCCCCTAAAAACCTGCGGGGGGCTCTGGGGGTGGTGCCCCAGCTCTTCATCACCGTCGGCATCCTCGCGGCCCAGCTCCTTGGTCTTCGGAATGCCTTGGCCAATGAAGACGGTGAGAACGGAGCCCTTGCCCACCCCCTCCAAAGTCCCTGCCACCACATGGGGTGCTTGTGCCAGCCAGCCTTCCCATTCTGTACAGCCGGGGCTATCTGCGGGGCTCTGGTCTGTCCTGGGCCCACCATGTTGGTGGGCTGCTGAGGACGCTGCAGACCCAGAACTAGCATAGGGTGACAGAGTCAGTCCTCTTAGGAGATGGCAAGATGGCTTGACTGAACAGACAGGGCCTGCTTCCCTTGGCCTATTCAGTGACTCGCCATACAGGGGACTATGCGTAGCAGTGACAGCACCCATATGCCAGGCACTGGGGGTGGACTTCACACCTTCTAGCTGTGCTGTGCCCTGAGTCATTGTGATTGTCCCATTTCACATCTCAGAAGGAAAGAATGAGGCAGAGCCACCTGCCCACTGTCAGGGAAACAGAAGATCCCTGCCTCTGACTCACCCTCCCCAGGAAAGTCTGAGCCTGGCACTCAGGAGGCACACAGTAACTTGTACTGGGCATTGCTGACTCTTCTTTGTCTTGAGTCTTGAGCTACTCTTTTGTTTTGAGATAGGCTGGCCTAGAACTCACTATGTAGTCAAAGATGACCTTGATCTCATGTTCCTCCTGCCTCCACCTACTGAGATACAGGTGTGAACATGCACACCTGGCTTGTGCCATGTTGGGGTTCAAAACCTAGGCTTTGTGCATGCAAGGCAAAACACTCTACCAACTAAGCTGCATCCCCAGACCCATTTTATTTCCTTCCTTCCTTCTTTCCTTCCTTCCTTCCTTCCTTCCTTCCTTCCTTCCTTCCTTCCTTCCTTCCTCC